TTTATGGAATTTGCTAAGGGCAGAACAAATGTAGACCTTGCAGATGTGATAAATTAGTAAAGGGAGAGCTTCATTCAACCGTGAGAGGGAGACTGTGGGCACTGGGAAAGAGGGTGGAACATTCAAGAAGGCTGAATTTACGTTTGTGTGGGTTGGTTTGTTTGTGAATGTGTGAAACACTTGACTCGGCAATCCTGCATGACTTCTCAATGCCTGAGTTCAAATAACTGTGAAAACACAACCGTTTAACCTGTCAGCATCCTCCTCTCTCTACTGAGAGGCTGTTTCAGTCGTCTGAAGCATTTGCTCATAGCAGATGTAGTGTCTGGACAGCCTTTTTTCTACCCAGGCAATGGACTTGCTTCCAAAGAGGAGCTACCATATTGCAACAAACTGGCACAGCCCTGGTTCCAGAAAAAGCCTCAGGCAGTTCACGCTCAAATGGATGCACAAGTGAGGATTTTAAGAAGTTCTGCCTGGATTGCTCATACACACACACACACACACACACACACACACTTTAAGTCTACTTTCAGTCTGCTTTCAGTCTGCTTTCACTGCTGAAGTAGTTCAATTTTAACAATGAAAATACTGTAATCACTTATCCTCCCTCACATATTAGGACTGCACTGGCCTCTCTGTTTTTTGTATGACATAACTGAATGAGGACTTTGCCATAATAACACCATAAAAGTGATAAGTATTCAAGGGCCATTCAAAAGCTTTATGTTGAACTGACCAAAATTTAAGTTAATTCAGACCATTTTTAAAATGAATCAACTAATTCTTTGAAAAGATCTTAAAGGGTTAGTTCACCTAAAAATGAAAATTCTGTCATTAATTACTCACCCTCATGTCGTTCCAAACCCGTAAGACCTTCATTCATCTTCAGCACACAAATTAAGATATTTTTGATGAAATCCAAGAGCTTTCTGACCCCGCATAGACAGCAACGCAACTACCACATTTAAGGCCCAGAAAGGTAAGGACATCGTTAAAATAGTCATCAAAAATTGTCATCTTAATTTGTGTTCCAAAGACTCCAACGAAATGAAACTGTTGGACATGCCATGAGCATGAGTAAAAAAGAAATTTCGATTTTTATTTGTGGGTGAACTGTTCCTTTAAGGGAAGTCATCATGCAGCCATTAAAAATGACTCCCAATGCAGCTCTGCACCTACCGCAACATTTACCATACAAATGGAATTGAGCCAAAGAAGAAATAAGACACAAAGTTATATTTTGGGTTTGTGAGCTGGACAGGAGAAAGAGTGACTGCAGCAAATGCTCAGCTCTGACTAGGTGCAGGGATGCTAAGAGCTTGGCACAGACTCTGTGTTTAAAGCTGGCTTTTACTGCAGTGGTTTATCTGAAAACAATCTCAGAAGAGACTCACACCTGGAACACTGCCACAATCCTCATAACATACAAGCGCAAACCATCAAAACATTATTACTCCTTGACACTTCACATTGCAGCTCTTACTCCAAAGTACCAGATGGAATATTATGAAATATAGTGAATTAGTCCTAATTATACCATCTCCTAGTTATAGTCTTAATTACAATGCACTTACCTCATGAATAATAATAGTTACGGCATTGTGAATTTCACATCTCCAAAAAAGCAGAGAATTATTTTGTAAAGTAACTCTCCTCATGCTGATTCATACGTCCCTGCTAGAGAATACTGCCTCTGTTCTGCAGTTTTGCAAAGAGCAGCTGCCCTGAATCCAAACTCAGTCTTACTCGGAGGACGCAGGATGTCTAATTACAGGTATGGCGACCACATAGCTAATTAAAGCCCCACCCGCTAGCTAGATTGCTCTGGATTTTTGTATTTCCTGAAACAATAATGAATCTGTTGAATGTGCATTGATTGCCTCAGGTGGCACACAGATTGGATAAACAAGTCTGGGTCTTCAAATTGTGGGAGCTGTGAATTCCCAGGATGCACCATTCCCTGATGAGAAAGCATGTGTTTGCTCATCAGTAAACAATCAGAGAGGCAATGTCCTATTTGATAAGAAGTTTAGATCCTATCTGTATGGACTTTATTCTAATTGCTGAAATGATTTTTGACAGCCTCTTCTAAAAATAGACTGTTTTGTCAGTGTTTGAGGATTTTTGAGAATCATGCAGCAAGCTCTAGTACAGCTGCAAATGGGCTGTCAATATAATAAAGAAGCATAGTAGAAGTAATGATACTATGCTATATCACCCTGTAGCCCAAGACTAATCACCCACTGAAGCTAAGCAGGCTTGAGCCTGGTCAGTACCTGGATGGGAGACCTCCTGGGAAAACTAGGTTGCTGCTGGAAGAGGTGCTAGTGAGGCCAGCAGGGGGTGCTCACCCTGTGGTCTGTGTGGGTCCTAGCGCCCCAGTATAGTGATTGGGACACTATACTGTCAATAAGCACCGTCCTTTGGATGAGACGTTAAAGCGAGGTCTTGACACTCTGTGGTCATTAAAAATCCCAGGATACCTTTCGAAAAGAGTAGAGGTGTGACCTCGGCATCCTGGCCAAATTTGCCCATTGGCCTCTGACCATCATGGCCTCCTAACAATCCCCATATCTACTGATTGGCTTCATCACTCTGTCTCCTCTCCACCAATAAGCTGTTGGGTGGTGGGCGTTCTGGCACACTATGGCTGCCATCGCATCATCTAGGTGGATGCTGCACACTGGTGGTGGACTCCCTCTCACAATGTAAAGCGCTTTGAGTGCCAAGAAAGGCGCTATATAAATGTAATGGATAATTATTATTATTATTTAGCCTATGTCAAGTCCACATTTTGCCACTAGATGAATGCTCCAATCTGACCCTCCTTTTCTCCTTTCTCTCCCTCCTACCAGAACCACAGGGACAAACCAAATAATGCATATTTAATCCTTAACGTGTGAAAACATGGCCACAACTGCTAAATGAAAATCACAACATCAAAAAAGGAGTAATCCAGAGGAGTGGGATTTAACCTCCTACTACGTGCTTTTCATGAGACAAACAAAGACAAAGAAAGCCCCCCTGCTGTGTTGCACAAAGAACAGGCTCAACACCACAGAAAAAGACACTCACGTATGACGAGTGAGGCTTCTGTGAAAGGTTTTATTCTCCCATGATGTGTTTTAGACCACAGTGATCTAGCTCAGCCATCCAATCACAATGAGATAAACGGGGTGATTCCATAGGGTGAAGAATCAGAGGGTGTTTTTGATGAGATTGTCCATCTCCACTACTGGGAAGAAAAGTACAGATAGGTTGGAACACACAATGACTATTTTTCTTAGTGTCAAGGCAGTAGAATGGCATCTGCACAATGGCAATGGTAGTCTCTCGGGAGTTCTGTTATCGCCCTGGGGTGACGTGGCACACACCCCCACTGAATGAATGAGTTACTGACACACACTTGGGTGTCATTGTTTGCCAACTGCTCAATTAACAAGTCCTCTAGCCCCATTAATGCTATTAACTGCTGATCCAGGCAGCGCCGATTGGCTAGGCTGGTGTTGGCGGTGAATTAGAGAGTGTTGTAATCCTATCAGCTTTTTGTCAGTGCCATGCCAGCTACACGTGACCACAGTGCCCCTTCCATCTTGTGGAATTATCGCAATGAAATTTCAGGAGAGCCCCTCAAGGGTTTCCATCCACACCCCACTGGTGCAGCGTTACTTTGTTCATTCTTACACTGATAAACACTCATGCTTATTTTAAAGGCAGACTAAATCCCCACCCCTTTTCCACTCTGGAATGAGACAAAGGCATAGCCCAAGGATTCCTCGCCTTGCTGCCAGTTCCTTTGAACTTTGTGTCTTTCTCACTTCCCTGTGTGTTTTCCCCCTGCCCTTGCTCTCTCTCTCTTGTTCCTAGCCTGTGCACACTCTTCCTTACCTACACGTGCATGCAAGCATGCACAAAGACCCATTCAGCTGTAGGTTGAGGACCCTTCTACACACGGGTTTCTTAAAGGAGATGGGTGCACCGGAGAAGACTGATATTTGACCCATCCTCTTCAGCTGATTGCGATCCGCTGCTTCCCCCTGCACCTCCCTCCCCCTCCTTCTCTCCCTCTCTGCCTCTGTCTCTCTCTTTCGCTTTCTCTCTCTGAGATCTTTCAGTGCTGTGCTCTTTGTCAAACAGAACGTACACCTTCTCACACGCACGCTGGCTGAGTGCGGCGGTCTGCGCCTGTTTCAGTGGGACTGCACGCGGTGGGCAGGCATGGAACGCTTCCTTGGCTTTGTCAAGCAGATCCGGAGGTCCAGGAGACGCAAGGGGAAAAAGTACCGTCCAGAAGAGGATTATCATGAGGGTTATGAGGACGTCTATTACTATGCTTCCGAGCACCTGCACCGTAAGTGCTCCCGCTAGCTGTCTGGGAAGGGAGGGAGAAAGTGGGGGATAGAGCTTGGGTATCAGTCATTGTTTTACTATTGCATAAATCACTAGCCAAGGGGGGACATCATGAGCAGCTCATGTTTGAGGGATGAATGAATTGTTTATCTGCAGACCATAAACTCCTGGATAGACTTTAGCGTGCAGCAGTTGAGGTTCCTTGTCAATGCGAGTGTGTTTATAAGGATATGGTTGTGTTTTCACCCCATTACCTTTGCCTGATGGATGGTGTCAGTCGGTCACCATTTGTTTCTATTGATTTAGAATGTGTTTAATGCTACATTGGCCATTAAATGCACACTAGAGTGGACATTTATGGCCATACTGGTGTACACTGCTGAGCTGCTGCTGTTTGAGTGCTACTTGGTGTGTTTGGATAGCACACTGCCCTTTAATCGCAGGTGAGAAGTTCGAGTGTGTGCCTGTGTGTGTGCGCCGTTGTTCTTCCAGCATTATGCATTCATTTGTTTCCAGTTCAAGTTATTTCAGAGTTTTCCTCTATACAGAATGATAGTTAGCATTGTGCTCCCTTGGCACTCTCCTACCCCCCCCTCCCCCCCCCCCCCCCCCCCCCACCCCTGCTTCTCTCCCTCTCCGTCTCTGTCTCGCTCTTTTTCTTTCTCTCTCTGATATCTTTCGGAGCCGTGCTCTTTGTGAAACAGAACGCACACCTTCACACACACACACACGCTGGCTGAGTGCGGAGGTCTGTGCCTGTATCAGTGGGACTGCACGCGGTGGGCAGGCATGGATCGCTTCCTTGGCTTTGTCAAGCAGATCCGGAGGTCCAGGAGACGCAAGGGCAAAAAGTACCGTCCGGAAGAGGATTATCACGAGGGTTACGAGGATGTCTATTACTATGCTTCCGAGCACCTGCACCGTAAGTGCTCCCGCTAGCTGGCTGCAAAGGGAGGAAAAAAGGGGGGGATTAGATCTCGGGTATCAGTCATTGTTTTACTATTGCATAAATCACTAGCCTAGGGCGGACATCATGAGCAACTCATGTTTGAGGGATGAATGAATGGTTTATCTGCAGACTGTAAACTCCTGTAGGGACTTCAGCGTACGGCAGTTGAGGTTCATTGTCAGTGCGAGTGTGTTTATAAGGGTGTGGGTGTGTATTCGCCCCACTACACTTGTCTGATGGATGGCCTCAGTCGGTCACCATTTGTTTCTATTGATTTAGAGTGTGTTTAATGCTGCATTGGCTGTTAAATGTGCACTAGAGTGGACATTTATGGCCATACTGGTGTACCCTGCTGAGCTGCTTCTGTTTTGAGTGCTACTTGGTGTGTTTGGATAGCACACTGCCCTTTAATCGCAGGTGAGAAGTTCGAGTGTGTGCCTGCGTGTGAAACGGGGCATCGTTTTCAACAGCATAGCGGTCTCAGGTAGCTGTAGTACTAGGTTTCAAAAACGCAAGCACTGACTAGCATCTTTCTCAACCTCCGCTTTACCTTTGTTTATTATGAAGCATCCCTTCCATGCACACTATGTACATTCTGGTGTTGTTCTTCCAGCATTATGCTACCCTTTGTACCATGTTGTTTCAGAGTTTCCATGTATATGGAATGATAATTAGCATTGTGCTCCCTTGGCACTCTCCTATCTGTTTTGAAGTTTGCAGATTCCCGTTCACAAGATGCCCCCAGGGCAGAATGGGTAATGACAGGGAAGCGGACCAGGAGTCCTGTAATCCTCATTCCATGGCTCTCCTGGTGAAAGATGAACAGTCTAAAAGTGGGTGAATGCAGGTGTTAGCAGTGCTTTGTTGCTATATTGTCTTTTGCATTATTGTGTATGTAGAAAATTTAGAATTTTTTTTATGCACTTTGGATGAAAGTTTTGAATCAAGGAAGATGGGATTCAAAATATAGATAATGTTTAAGTTTCAAAAGTATGCTAATGTAGCTTAAACATTTTCAGTGTGTGTGGGTTAGGTTTTGTCTACAGTGAACTGAACAAAAACAAAGTGAATAAAAATCTTCAGCATGATAAAAAAAATGTGTTAAAGTGTAGTTTCATTATAAAGTAGGCCTATAGCTTCAGTTTTTCATTGTATGTCAGGAATTTCTACAGTGCTGAATCAGTGGAGGCATGTAAGTTAGACAAAGCATTACCCAAGATACTCACTCATCACCATTAGCAATAGTGATGTAGTCATCACCGCCACGCATGAAAGCGCTGATATGCACGAACAACCTTTGTGAGAATTTAAACCTGCAGAGCTGCGGTCTTCTCAGACGTTGCTAGCTTGAATTGAGGATGACTGGTGGAATTAATTGTGCGACTGAAGCCATGTTTCATTCCCACGTTTACTTTGGTTTGGTTTTTGCAGGGAGACGTTAATGAAATTAAATTGTTTTTGATCAGCGAGTTTGATTGTGATGTCAGCTGAACGCTGCAACCTGTTCCCTAAATGGCTTCTTTCTTTCAAGCGTGTTTTTTAATGTCAGGTATTTACTTTGATATGCAGTAGCGAAACACTCTGTACGAAACATAGAATTACGACACCTAATTGGCCCAGCTGGAGTCTGACTGAGTCACTCTGAGAAATTGAGGAGTAAATGCCATTTGGAATATTTTTAGATTAGTGGGAAATGTAGAGATGTCACTTACATTTCCTGTTTGGTTTAATGCTTCAGTTGTATGTTAAATGTAATTGGACTTTGAGCTAGCAATGCTGCTTTTAAAACGTAATGGCAGCTTGGCGTGCACAAAGGGATCAACTGCTAATTAACCCGTAGAAAAAGCCTGGAAATGTCAAACGTGGGCTCCCCGAGACCAACCGCTCCCCCCTTCGATTTGCTAGGGTCCCTCGTTTCGCCTTTGCCTCTCTCTTCATCGTTTCTGCCTTCCTCATGTATAATTCACGGTCAGGTTTTAGTGTGTCCATTCTCGTTCATTTATTAAATTCTCCCTCATGTGGCCTGCTGTCACTCCTTCTATGATACACTTCATTTTCATACCACTGGGCTCACTGCAAGACCCACACTTTGGGGGAGGACTACATTTTGATAAATGGATCATATCTCCATAATAAAGAGTAGTGTAGAGGCAGAATATGTTTGTTTGATGTATTCAGGGACTGTAGGACATTCTGGTGGAGGTGACCCAGTGTAATGTGCCTACGGTTGTCAGTCCTGTTTTATTTGCTAAATCGTTTTTTTACACACAGTTTGGCTATAAATGCCTTTTAATTTTTAGGACTCACTTTTACTTTTCGAGAGTGAAGTGGGTTCATCTTTAAAGTGTAGAACCTTAACCTTAGACTTTCCAGTTTGAAAGTCACATGTTAGGGGATAGAGTTGTCCATCACAAACTGATTATGAAGCTAGTCTGGGATGCTTCAAACCTTCTTTCCATTTATTTTCTCCATAAATGTCTGCATTTGCAAACCCTTTTCCTCTGTAAACTGGTATTTTCCATAGCATAATAGTATATAAAATGCTGTTTTAAATGCTGAATATTCTTCTTGTAGAGCCTCCCTAAATGAAACATTAGCCGCCTTCTCTTAGCTCAGGGCAAGTGGCCTTTCCCTGCTGTGAGGTTCCCAGAAACCTAATGCACAGCATCCATTTTGCCTATTTGTTTTTCTCTTGTTCACAGGAGTAGACTCGAGTATCAGTGCAGTTCCAGTTGTTATAAAATGCAGTGGAGCACCAGTCAAAATCAACATGAAATCATAATTGATGCTATTTACTCTCATAAACCTATACAAACTATACAGAGCTGTTAAAAAAAATTGTAAGCTTTTATCATAATAACTTGATCCGTCTATGAAGTGGCTTTTATCTGACATCACCAAGCCCTTTTTTAATTTTTCAAACCATTCCTGCCAAATATTTTGTTTAAAATAATGTATTATCTATTTTTGAAAGATGTCACATTACGGTTTGTAAAATTGCTTGTGAAAGCTCTTTTGCGTCTATTTTGGTGGCATTTGTTGTATGTTATGCAATTTATGACATAGCATCATCTCTATACCTAAAATGAATTTTTTTCTTGCTCTAGTCTAGGAAAATAAATGAATAGCTAGTCACAGGTTAAATTACAGCAATGTGACACTATAAAATAGTTGTCTTTGGAATACTGTGTTATTAATAATATAGATTGAAGTGGCAAATACCGCCGTTTGCTTGGTAAAGAGGAATACCTCTTGTGCGATTTACAGGTTTTGCGTGGATTCATCAAAACAGCCACCAAGACTGCTGTGACAGAATGTGTTTGGTTTCCAAAAAGAAAGTGGCAGCATTTCTAAGAGACATCTCAAAGGAGCTGGGAGCTAAATCAAGGATCTGCCGCATATCAAAGCAAAGATTCCTCTAGTAGGTCACATGAAACCCTGAAGGAAAAAATAAATGCATACCAAATGTCTTCATTTGGACAGTTAAAGTGAAACAAAATGTTTCCGTCTGATAAAATGCTAATTTGTTTTGTCCAAACTATAATCGAAGACCCCCTCCTTTTTTCCTCCGATAGACAGTATGAAATCCAACAAAAAAATTTTCACACCGAAAGCAAAAGAATCCATAACTGTGTGTGTATCTAAATTAGGGATGGGTACCGAAACCCGGTACCAATATGGCACTGGTACCTATGTAACCGGTATGTACTAGAACCGAATCCGAACGTAGATTTCTGTGCCTCATTTCGGTGCCATGTCTGAGTGATCGATTGAAATATTTGTCCTCTGGTTCTCCGAAATGGACGTAAGAAGCAGAGCTAAATCAAGGATCTGCCGCATATCAAAGCAAAGATTCCTCTAGTAGGTCACATGAAACCCTGAAGGAAAAAATAAATGCATACCAAATGTCTTCATTTGGACAGTTAAAGTGAAACAAAATGTTTCCGTCTGATAAAATGCTAATTTGTTTTGTCCAAACTATAATCGAAGACCCCCTCCTTTTTTCCTCCGATAGACAGTATGAAATCCAACAAAAAAATTTTCACACCGAAAGCAAAAGAATCCATAACTGTGTGTGTATCTAAATTAGGGATGGGTACCGAAACCCGGTACCAATATGGCACTGGTACCTATGTAACCGGTATGTACTAGAACCGAATCCGAACGTAGATTTCTGTGCCTCATTTCGGTGCCATGTCTGAGTGATCGATTGAAATATTTGTCCTCTGGTTCTCCGAAATGGACGTAAGAAGCATCATCACTGGCACCGCACGTGAAAAATAATTTCCCGACTGAGAAACGTGAACTCAAGTCGGAAATCTCTAATAATACACATCCAACACATCTTTGTAGTAACAAGAGTGTCCATGTTGTTTTCACATTCTGCCATCAAAAGAGTAGCCTACATTATAACCTTTTTATAACACCAGTCAAATGCTTCCTTTTGTGATCTGATGAAGCTTCTTGTCACAGAATGAGGCAGAAAATATGTTCCATATGCTACTTTAAAAAGAATACATCGATTAGCAATAGATTATAAATTAGGGTGACCATACATCCACTTTTTCCCGGACATGTCCTCTTTTTGGACCTACAAAAATGCGTCCGCCCGGGATTTCTTAATTGCCCAAAATGTCCGGGATTCGGCTGTTTTCTTAATTCCACTCCCACTGAATCTCTGACCATCTGTTCCCGCAACATGCGTTTCATTCCCGCGATTTTCGTGTCCACTCCTTTAAACATTCTAATATTGTATATAATTTTGGCGCATCAGGGAGCCGCTCTCAGGATGCGGTGTATTTAAATATTTTTGAATGAGCGTTTGCGCTGTTTACTTTCACTTTCGATTTCGCAATCACACACACTCTGTGTAAAGGGAGCACGTCTTACAAGGTCAGATATTTGTCAATTAGCTCAGGGTTGCCAAGTCCACGTTTTTTCCACAGAATTGGGCTACTTTTAAACTGTTGCCA